AATCAACCTCTGGCTGCGCGGCCTCCGTCAGCTCCTGGAGATTACTTGGTTTACAGTGATGGGCTATTCCCCGTTTCTTCTCTCTGGTAAGATAAGCACAAGTCAATTGCTCCCTTTGTTAACTCCTCGGCTCTTGGCACCTGAGTCCGAGCATGTCATTGACAAGTCCAGCAAGGCCATCCACCACAGGGGGACATTAGTAGGGCCATTGGACATTGGGTGATAGAACAGGTACCGTCCCATTCTGTTTTGTAGGGACAAAGCACAGTATCTGCTAGTGCCAGAAGTACCAGGACAAAGCTAAGCACACAGAGTGGAAAATTCTAGATAATGCAAATCATGTATGAATAAATGACATTAACATAAGAAGTTGAATGAGTAGATCATGGGTGAGATGGCAGAGGAGAGTTTGTCCACACAGATGAGGAAAATGTGCAAAGGTTCACTGGGAAGGTCGGTAACGTGGAGACATTCGCCCCTAACCTAACTGCTTGCAGCAGCCGCCTGGAGCACTGCTGCATGGTGATGTTTAATGGATGCACAATGTCAATATTAATAGAGAGTCTGAGAAACCGGGGGGGTTGATCAGGGGACTCTATTCCAACGGTTCACAGCACAAGAGTGAAGTTATGCACTTATTTCTCCAAGGACGCTGTTAGTGGTGCTGCAAAGCTATGCTCAAAGCTGCGAAATGATGACTTCTGTGCCACGGGTGCCAACGAAACATGATGCCGGCATGTAAACAGATTGTGGCTTTAATTCACAGAAAGCAGTGCTTGCTGAAATCAGCCGTGTCACAGTCACCGAGACGGCCAAGCCAGCTCCTCCTGGGAATCACTGCTTTCAGGTAAATGCACAGCCAGCAGGCATTTCGGGGGCCCAGACCCGCTCCCAGCTACCTGTGTGTACATGCAGTGGGTGCAGCTTAGAATTAGATTTTGTGTTTAATGATCTTAGACAAACAACTGACCAAATATCTCTGCCTGCTTCGGACAAAAGACAGACTGTGATTGCCAGAGGTGCAGCTGAGGGTGAGACCATGGAGAAAGTAAATAACATTATTAGCAGAATTACTATTCAAAATTATGTAGAAATCCTCATTAGTCAGGATCAAAATGGATGTGCGAAGGTCCTTCAGGGACTGAAAAATCTAAGCAAAGAGCCAGGAAAATATTCCGCAGACCATCCGAGGCGCTGAGGAAGCCAGTAAGACTGACCGTAAGTACTGAACACGCAGGCAGCTCAGCCGGTTCATTTGCACGGCGGAGGGCAAGCTGGAGAGCTGTGTTTCTGCTTGCGCGTCTGTATGCTAGTTGTCGTTGCTCTAAGAAAGCGGTGAGACATTACCAGCTGTGTGTTCGCTGGAGACTGTCACCTCCAGCACGTGGTTAGTTACAAGACCATCTCCAAGTCCAAGCGAGGAGGGAGGAAGGGGGCAACGCCTCCGTTGTTCACTCAGGGGAGGTGGGCAGCGGCGGGATCTGCAGGTTCATGGCTGGGCTACTGCTTTGTCCCAAGCCAGCGCTGCCGGTCCAAGCAGATTCCTCGCACTAATGCTGATCCTGAAGTGTCACTAAGCATCGATTTAGAAAGGAAGATGTGGTCTTAAGACTACAGCTTTGATGGCCAAGCTTTGACAGCCTGTCACCGCTGTGCTCTGGGGCTTTTCTTGCTGTTACACACGGGCTACGGGAGCTGGACAAGACGTAAGGCAGAGCTCTCGAAAGCCAGGAGGCTTTCTGAATACACAGTTTGATTGCTTGGACTTGTCAAAACCTCGCAGTTCATGCTGCCAGCTCATGACCCAGCGTGACTGGCAGTATGGCTCCTGTAACACACTGGGTTGTCTCGGCCTGGGTGCTGAGTCCCCAGCCCACCACAGCACCCTGGGCTGGGGGGGACCACAGCTGCTCGCCCGCTCGCACCCTGGGCAAGCCTCGCAGGTGGACGGGAGAGCCTGGAGCCAGCATCAGTCACCAGGTATTTCGCCGTAATGAAATGTCTGTCCTGGTAATTTGGGGATAATTGTATCTGAGGTTAATAGCCACTGATATCTTCCCTCACCGAGTTTATTTACTCCATGACATAGTTACTGTGTCTCAAACAGAAATCACCCTCAAGGCATCATCTAATTATCTTCTCATTGTTCTGCAAATCTGTTTCGTATTACCAATAATCTTATTACTACAACTGCAACATTCATGAAGCAAACGGAGGACAACAGAAATATATACAGTAATGGCAGTTAAGTTTGAATCTCACAGTGAGTGATGGATAATTCTGGAGCAGACTGTTCTCATAGATTTTTGCCCATTATTTTCTGAGAAAGATACAAATAGCTCAAGAAAAATCCTATTTCATTTACAGGGTGCTTTTCTAGAGTCTGGTCATTTTACGTGATCCGGTTACCACAAAACGGCACACTCGGGACCAGAAACGGTTGTGGAGCCCTCCCCTTGTGAGCGGGGAGACCTCTCAGCAGAGACAGCGCTGCTGGATTCCCCTGGCAAACACCGGTCCCCGCACGGGCCCACCCGGGGGCTGTCGGAGGCACGGTGAAGCTGAACTCTGTGACAGTGATCCAGCATTTCTTGGGTACATCAGATGCTTCCAGGTGACATACTGGATGGTCTTGCATGGGACTGGGAAGCGTTGCTTTCTGCTTGACACGTAGCGGCTCCCGATGTTGCACTGAGCAAAGTAAAACCGCAGAGGAGTTCTGGGCCATCCATGTGTAAAAGATTTGGGGCCTGATCCTCAGGAATTAAATGGAAATACATCCATACTTCCTCGTGGAAGTAAATGGAAATATATTGATGAAGAGCAGACAGGTAGATTGTCAAGCTGTTGTTGCCCATCAGCCATGCCAGGTTATATTTAGCTCTGTTACACCTGCACAGAGCCATCTGAACGTGTACCAAAACAATCCCCATCGCCAGCTTTGATCCACACTGTCTAGCCCAACAGCAGATCATCATTTGTCTCACTGGTAAAATAACTGCTGACAAATGTAAGGGTCTTTTTTTTCAGCTGCAAATGCATGAAAATATATTTGGAACATTTTATGGGTAGATTGCACACCTGATGGAAACATTTATGACTGCCTTCTCTCTGGGCATATCAAAAATATCCTCATCCAACTTCACTATTTTTATCAACTCCACTCTTATACCTAACATTCATTCTGGCCTTGAAAATTTTTTTATGAGTATCACAGATGAGTTTGTGACCTCTTTGGTATGCTCAGCCAAATGGCTAAAAAAGAAATCCACCCCTGAAGTAAAGCAGGTCCCAGTAAATCAGTGAGGGGATGCTATGTTATGTACGTGTGTGTATGTGCAAAGTGCTGTGTGAGAGAAAACCAAGGCAGAGAGAGGTGCCTGGATTTATTCTGGACTCGAGAGAGGTTACTGCTATTCCCTTTTTATGCTGGCCCAGGCCCTTTCTACTTTGTATTGCTCCAAATAATTGAAACCCCTATTTGTTTTAATATGCAGGTTTGCATTTACCGTAATAATTCAGTATTACTACTGCAAATATAATAGAAATATAGAGGTACCCAGTTACGTTTTTCAAGAAAGTGGGCAAAGGGAAAACAAGCAAGTGGGTTTTTTTTAAAAAAATCCAGAACTCTGCTGAATCCATAAAGAAAGAACAAAATGAGAAGTCGGAGGACAACATCCCACTCCTACTGGTATAACTGCCCATAAATCCCTTGTCCTTCTCCCATTCGTGCTGTGTGACCCTCCTGTCAGGGCTACGCTTGCTGGTGACTATTTTCCTGTGGAGAAATACATCACAGATGATTTATGCAGCCAGTTTTAGGAGAAATGAGGGAGGTCCTGGGCCACAGGAGCTCCCACTACGCTGTTAGAAGAGATGCCAAGTCTTCCAGCATACAAGGAGGAAGAGGAGGTCGAAACTTCTCCTCTGCCCAGCTCCCCCATAACTCACGTCCTGCGTTGCACGTTGCCAGCATTTGTTCTGCTGCGATGCTGCCTGAGCTCAGTCAGGAGATGCCAAAATGCAAACAACTTCAAAACAAAAGAAAACACCTGAAAGCCCCTGGTTTAGCTACATGGTTAGGAGTGGTCTGTCCGCCCAGCGCTCTGCTTGGCTGCAAGTCCCACTCAGGACCCCACCTCATCATCCTCCTGCCTGGTGATGGGGCACCCTTACTCTGTCTGGAGGTGCTGAGGAGATGTTTCTTCTTCCGTTTTCATTTTCTGATCTCCAGCACCCTCACACGCCTTAACGGGGGCTCCCCAGGTAGCAGAGTTTGTAGGAGATCCCTTTCCAGCCAAGGCCCCTCGGGGCTGCAGGCAGAAGCTGGGACAGAGCGGTACCTCGCCAGCTCTCACTGTGGTTTGCATGTTTGGAAATGAACTGTGAGAATCTGGAAGTCAGTAACGTGGCTCCTCCTGGCCGTTCTCTTGATGGGATGGAAGCTAAACAGCAGCCCTTGGGAACAGGGTTTGCCCTCAACCTCCTCTGACCTCTGCTAGCAAAAGGCGAGTGTTTTCTGAGCTGGGAGGAGCGAGTGTGACAGCAAAGGAGAAACGAGAGCGGAAGGGGGACGAAGGGCTCTGCACAGAGGTGGCACCCTTGGGGGCAGAGCTGGCCTGTTTGCAACAGCGTGTGCTGTTTGTGAGTGGATGCAGGCAGCGGTGAGGCTGTAAAAGGCTTTTTATTTAAGGTGCTGACACTTCAGGAGAAAATGAGAAAAAGAGATGTGCTAAAAGAAAAATACATTGCTTTTCATTCTCTGTCCTCCCGCTTCTTCCTTAAATTTTATGGGATGAACTTGCTCAATTTAAGTACCTGCCAGCAAAGCTCTGACAGGACGATCAAGAGCCATCCACAGTGCCAGCTGGAAAGCCTGGCTGATCCCCAGTCCTGAGACACAGCTTCCCTCAGGGCATCTTCCCATAGCTGGAGAAGCGTTCAGCTCCTGCCTCAGACGATGTGGGTCTCTGCTCTGCCCGTGAACATTTCCGTACCATCCTCCCTGGTGGGCTCCGGTTCAGGGCTCAGACCCAAAGATCTGGGCAACGGCAGAGCCTCCCAGCTGAAAGGAAGAGCTGGCGTGGGAAGGGCAATGACAGATGCGATGGGCAAAGGTGTCGCCTGGGACACAGAGGTGCTACTGCCACCTGCGTCCGCTGACTTGGCTGGGCCTCCAGGGAACTGTGCATCTTCGTGGAAAAAGCTGAACTCTGAAGACAGTATTTTTAGCCTGGTTTCCTGAGGAAATGAAGATTCTGTCACTTCATGTCTGCCCATCTGTCCTCATCAACCTTTGAATTCCACTGGCGAGTTGCAAACAAGTTTGGTGGAGCATTAGGAGTCTCGAAAACATTTAGACTTCTAATTGTGAAAATTGGTAGCAGGGAAAAGACAAGAAGTGCAAGGTAATGCATGACTGTCCGTCTGACAGAAGGGAAGGAAGGCAGGACTCAGCAGTTGCCTGTTCTGTTTGAAAGCTCCTAATAAACCTCAGCACGTGGTATTTCTTGCCGCGAACGTCGTGGGTAGAGAATTCCCAACGGGAACGAGCTAGTTTAAATGAAGCAGAAACGGCAGCCTGTCAGAGACACCCCAAACGTGGAACTGAAAAGTCGAGGCTTTATTCAACGCACAGGGCAACTTGTTTCACTCTCAGCCTCCTCTTCTCTGATGGGTTTGCAGGAAGCTTGTAAGAAAACACAACAGAAAAGGAGGAAATCTGCCTTGCTGTGAAGAGGATATTTGGTTTTGTTTCGTGTTTTACCCCCCAGCTGAGAGTGCGCCTGTGTCTGCATGGGTGTGTGTGTGTGTACATGGGTGCTCGCTTCAAGTTTATGGAGCCACCAGAAGGCAATGAAGTACTTAGGAGCTTCCTGTGCATAGCGGCTTCAAACACATACGGCCAACCCCAAGTGCCTACCCCTGCTATGAAGGCTTCACCGGCGTGTTTTATTCCCTCCTCTCACCCTTTGGCTGCCTCTGCTGCTCCAAATCGCATGCTCCTTACGGCAGGGTTTATTTCTCCCTTTATGGTCCTGGCATGCATTTTGAGTATTGCTGTGAACAGTCAGCAAAAGCCAAAGGACGATCCCTAGTGCCTCCAGTTCTCCTCTTCAATACCTCCCTTAATACCCACCACCACCTTTGACTGAAAGGGTTGCCCCTGCGGAGATGAGCAGCGGGGGGAGATGGTGGCCCGAAGCTTAGCCTCTCTGATCTCTCTCGGGCTGTACGTGCCGGCAGTAGAGCTCTCGAGCTGCTGGGCATGCCCTTGGGCCACCGGCTCATTTCGTCTGGTAAAGAGCCGAGCTCTGTCAAAGGGCTTTGCTGTCACGGCCAGCGCAGGCTTCACTCTGAGCAGCCAGCTCCAGGTGAGGTCCTGGATGCTGGTGATGGCCACTTTGAATTTCAGAACTGAGAAGACCAAGGGATTATCTGAGGATGGGAAGAAACAGCAGGGAATTAAGCAGTCAGATGGAAAGCGTGGTTTCTTTTGAAGTGGTCAGTGGTCAACCTTTGCAAGTCAGCAGCAGACGCAGGGTAGCAGAGGGTGGCTGAGGCGTGCTGGGCACCCTGGGGCAAGCACAGGCCTGCGTGGTGACCTCTGGGGTGGCAGCAGCCTCTGCCGCTCCTGGCTGGGGACAGGCTGACTGCTTCGTTTGCTGTGGGTTAGCAGGCTGACGAAATCGTAGCTGAGCTGGCGCAGTCCTTCCACTTCTGTCTGATGAAAATGAACAAGACCACGCTCCCCCTGAGCAGGGAGAGAGCGAAAATTCTAGTCAGTGTAGCTTGTTAGGTGGTCTGGTTTTGGTCTCTGCAGGAAAAGAGCTCAGCCGTGACTCTTTAGAGGGCCCCTGGGGAAGAGCCCGATAATGTAATGGAATAATGAGTGTCGAGCTACGAAAGCATTTCATTACCAGCATCCTCGCCCCATGCTGCCCCAGTCTGCTGCAGTTATCATGTGCTGCTGATGGGAAAGGTCACCGTGAGATTATCCCGCCTCTGCAACAGAGCAGCTGCGTTTCGGTGAGAGGGTCCTGGCTCCTGTGTGGGCTCAAAGCCTTAGCAGATACCCCGAATCAAAGGGAAAGCTGCGCTTCGGGGTGCTGCTGAGGGGCAGAGCAAGGGATTTCACTGCTCTGAAGAACTGCAGTTGTTGCCCCCTGTCCCTCCATTCAACCTGCCGAGGCCCCACTGTGTTGCAGAGGAAGCAGATGGGTAGACAGGCTCTCTCCTAAACCTGATTCTCAAAATATTAACTGCTTTCCTTCCTAAGTCAGTAATGACTTCCCTTCAGGCCCAGGTGGAGTCTTCAATAGACAGAGCTGTCTCTGAAGGCGACGGCGCTCGTTCAAAGCGGGAGTTGGACCCTGAGAGATGAGCGCTCCTGCTACGCTTCCCAAACTGCCAGCTGCTGGGTGCGGGTGCCCGGCGTGGTGGGGAGGCAGAGCCTGTGTGAGGCAGCCTCAGCCCTTGCCTTCCCAGCTGACACAGCCTAAGAAGGGCACAGCGAGCCCCTGCTCCGCCACGGGCGGCTTGCGTGATGCCGAGTTATCCAAATCCCCCTGTTCCCCCTTTCTTCAGGGGTGAACTACAGTGAAGGAGTCTTCCCTCCTCTTGCTCGCTCTCTGCTTTGTCTAGCTGGGTTGCAGGCTCCTGCCCGATGCTACGGCACTGCCGGGCGTCTGCCCTCGTGCCAGAGAGCAGGACCCCAAGGAGTGAGCAGCAATCTGCAAAGCGCCGTCGAGCCTGCGGCAGCAACAGTGCATGGGGTGTGGGGGGGTGAAGTGCAACCCTTGTGTGGCTACCACAAACCCAGCGTTGTACGCACAGATCTGCCCTGAAGTCAGGCCAATCGCTTTCTGCAGTGCAGGCCATGTCTAGCTCAACCTTCAGGGAGCAGCTGGCTCCTTGGGTTCATGTCCCTCTCCCCCCTTCCCCGTAGAAGCGCTGAGCAGCTGAGCCCTCTGCCCCTGCAGCCGCACTCTGGAGCTTTCCCTGCCGTCGGTGCCACGAGAGAGGGCACCTGCTTGCTCCCCCGCCACACAGCGAGCTCTGCAGACTTCCATTTTTAGCACCGATGAATCACGTTGCCTCTGCTGACGGCAGAGAGCAAAAATGCGAGCAGCCCCTACCTGCAGCATTTGCTGCTGACCAGAGAGGTGTCGCTAAGCAGGCTCTGCCTGGCAGCACAGGCAGGAGTAGGCAAGAAGAGGAGACTTTCCATCGAAAGGGTTTTGTGCCGAACACGCCACTGTGCAGCCTTCGCTCCCTTCGTTTGCCTTGGGGAGGTTGCCAGCGTCTGCACCCTCCGGCCAGCTCTTCCCCCTCCTGTTCTCTGCTTCACCCCGCAGATCTTAATACCAGGAGCAGGCAGGTCATAAGCACTGGTAATGCAAGCGACGTCACTCAAAATGTGACAAAAACAGGCACATCCTCTGAGTTTCGTGTATCACCAAGATTTCTCATTTCCTGAGCCATTAGTGACAGGGAAGAGGTCAAGGAATTTATGGTAGTACCAATGAGGTATTGACAGAGAATTCCCTTCTCTGCTCCTCCATTCAGACCCTTCATTTGGTTCCTTACTGCAACTGATGTTTTAGACAGCACCTCTTTGGGGACAGGAAGGATTCCATCCTGAGAACTGCAGGAAGATGTTTCTTGTCACTACAACCTAAAGTCTATTGCTGGAAAACATTCAGCTTGGGAAGAACCATCAGCTAGAAAAATGTGCCACCTGGCAAGATGCTTTAGGTACCTCCTTACATTTGACTGCGAGGTCTTTATAGGTACAACTGCCAAATCAGGTAAAAACAGCCAACACAGACAATTTTAACATTTAACACCATACCCAACAAAATAATAATGTTTTAAAAATACCTTGCCTGAATTTTTTGTAATAGCTTAGCTCTAGGTTAATGAGTTTAAAGCTCATTGATTGAAAAATGAAAAAGTTGTGTTTTTCTCTTCAGTCTACTCTTTTGCTTTTCATCTGCTAGGACAGTTGAAAGCACTTTTGTCTATTCCTCTGAATTTCTTTTTATTCATTAGGGGTAGTTTTCATACCTGTACATTTGTTATGAGTACCCTGATCTTTGGGTGTTCAACCTGACTCTAGTTGCACACTCAAAGCTGTAGCAGAGAAAATGCATGTCTGATTTGTTACCCTTGGCCTGAGGACGCAAGTGCAACGAGGAGGTACTAACATCAGCACAGCGCTGTGCCTGCCAGGTTTCCCAGAGCCTTTACAGCTGAGCACCGAAAACCCGAAAGACTGTATTTCAGGCTCGGTTTTGGTTATTTACTGGGGGAAGGTAGGGGCTAGACTACTGCGATGTCTCTACACGTGTCAATCAAATCACAGACTTCTACACGTTAAGTGGCTCCAAAAGGGATTAATGGTGTTAGAGCACATGCAGCTCCCACAGATCCATCGGGAATCAATCCCTTCTATGACAGGCAGAAAAACCTCTGCATAAATAGTCAGGTTGAGATACTTGTTGTGTTTGTAATGTTTTATACAGCGTTTCTGATCAGAAGCCATCTAATCATTATTATTAGTGGTTTTTAAGGAGCACTTCCAATACCCCATAGCTCAGATGCCACCCACCTTCTAGTTCTGCTCCTTGTCCTTCGTCCTTCAGCTGGGGATGGGGGTGATGAGGTGTGTCCAGCCCCGCTCCTGACACAAGCAGACACAGCCCTTAAAACACACAACATGATTTTTTTTTATTTGTTTAATCAGTTTACATTCCACAATTGACAGTTTACTTATTTATTTTTTTACTTTTCCATGAACAAGTTATTTAGTTACCAGACAAGATTTTAATCGATGGAAATACAGTGTTCTGTGCCAATCTGGATAAAACCAAAACCAAACAAAATCAAAACGGAAGGAAAACTGTAAGATGTAGCCAGGTTTTTGGCAAAGTCCTGTGATGCTTTCTGCGACTTTTGTCTTTCAAAGTAACAGGGGTTTGTTCATTCCCCCTGTTAGTTCCCTGACCTCAACCTGCCACTAAGCTGATCCTTCAGGGCCACGGTCCTGCAAACACCGACGCACGTACACAAACACCCCTGTGTCTGCAGATTAGCACCTTGGAGTAACGGAACGAGAAGTTTGGATTTGTTTTATGTTTAAACAACTTCTGCTCCCCTCTGCTGCAACAGATTACAGGAAGAAATGGAAAGTACAACACACTCGATAAGATGTCGCATTCCCTGTCAAATTCGCCACCACGTTCACAGCTCACCAGAACGACCTAACGCCATCCTCA